TCGATCCCTGCTGTCTATACCGGACATATGGTTCCTTCTTTTCCTTGACCAAAACTTCAAATTTCTCTAGTCGTCCAGCATTCCCTATACCTACCAGCCTTGCCCCTCACCCTAACAGGAACATACTGTGTCTGGACTCTCATTGTCTCATTTTTGAAGGCTTCTCATTTTCTAGCCATCCCTTTACCTGAGAACATCCACCTCCAATCAATTTTTGAAAGTTCTTGCCTAATACCCTCAAAATTGGCCTTCTTCCAATTTAGAACTTTAGCTTTTAGATCCAGTCTACCCTTTTCCATCACTATTTTAAAACCAATAGAATCATGGTCACTGGCCCCAAAGTGCTCCCCCACTGACACCTTGGTCACCTGCCCTGCCTTATTTCCCAAGAGTAGGTCAGGTTTTGCGCCTTCTCTAGTAGGTACATCCACGTACTGAATCAGACCATTTTCTTGTGCACACTTAAATTCCTCTCCAGCCAAGCCCTTAACACTATGGCACTCCCAGTTTGGAAAATTAAAATGCCCTACCATAATCACTGTTATTCTGACAGTAAACAGACCTCCTCACAAACTTGTTCCTCAATTTCCTGCTGACATTTACGGGGGTCGAGAGTACAATCCCAATAAGGTGACCGTTCTTTTCTTATTTGTCAGTTCCACCCAAATAACTTCCCTGAACGTATTCCCAGGAATATCCTCCTTAAATAAAGCTGCAATATTGTCCTTAATCAAAAACGCCACACCCCCTCCTCTCCTGCTCCCCTTTCTATCCTTCCTACAGTATCCACACCCTGGAACATTAAGCTGCCAGTCCTGTCCATCCCTGAGCCACATCCCTGTAATTGCCATGAAATCCCAGTCCCGTGATCCCAACCATGCTCCGAGTTAATCTGCCTTACCTGTTAGGCCACTTGCATTGAAATAAATGCAGTTTAATTTATCAGTCCTACCTCATTTACAGCCTTGACTGTTTGGCTTAATTCTTTTCTCAACTGTATCAGTCTCTGACTGCTCTCTTTCCTCACAATCTTCCTTGGTCTGACTCCCACCCACCATCACTAGTTTAAATCCTCCCGTGCAGCTTTAGCTTTAGATATTAGTCCCCTTTCAATTCAGGTGCAATCCATTCTTCTTATACAGGTCACTTCTACTCCAGAAGAAATTCCAATGATCCAAAAATGTGAATCTTTCTTCCCTGCACCAGCTGCTCAACCACGCATTCATCTGCTCTATCTTCCTATTCTTACCCTCACTAGTTTGTGGCACCGGGAGTAATCCAGATATTACTATCTTCAAGGGCGTCCATTTTAAATTCCTGCCTAATTTCCTATATTCTCTCCTCATCTTGTCCTTATCCCTTCCTATGTCATTAGTTCCAACGTGTATAACAACCTCCTGATGGTCCCTCTCACCTTTGAGAATATTCTTCATCCTCTCCGAGATAGCCTTGATCTTGGCACCAGGGTGACAACACACCAATCTGATGTCTCTCTGTCAGCCGCAGAAATGTCTGTCTCTGCCTCTGACTACAGAGTCCCCTATCAAAATCATTCACTTGGAACTGGCATACCGCTCATTACATTGGAGCCAGTCTCGGTACCAGAAACCTGGCTGTCAGTGCTACATTCCCCTGAGAGTCTATCACAGCCTACATTTTGAAAATCAGCATAAAAACCGAAGAACTGCGGATGCTGTAAATCAAAAACAAAAACAAAATTACTGGCCAAGCTTGTCCTCACCCTCAACAACTTCTCTTTCAACTCCTCTCATTTTCTTCAGGTAAGAGGGGTTGCCATGGGTACATGCATGGGCCCTAGTTATGTCTGTTTTTTCATGGGTTAGGTGGAACATTCCTTGTTCCAGTCCTATTCCGGCCCCCACCCACAACTCTTTCTACGATACATCGATGATATCATCGGTGCTGCTTCCCTCTCTCGTCTGGAATTGGAAAACTTCATCAATTTCACCCCCAATTTCCACCCGGCCCTCACTTTCACCGGGTTTATCTCTGACTCCTCCCTTCCCTTCCTTGACATTTCTGTTTCCATTTCTGGGGATAGACTGACCACTAATATCCACTACAAACCCACTGGCTCCCACAGCTACTTGGACTATACATCCTCACACCCTGCTTCCTGTAAAGACTCCATCCCATTCTCTCAGTTCCTCCGTCTCCGTCGCACATGTTCAGATGAGGCCAACTTCGATAAGGGAGCCTCCGAAACATCCACCTTCTTCCTCAACCAAGGATTTCCTAGCTCTGTTGTCGACAGGGCCCTCAATCAGGTCCGACCCATCTCCCGCACTTCTGCCCTCACCCCTTCTCTTCCCTCCCGCAACAGTGATAGGATTCCCCTTATCCTCACCTACCATCCCACCAGCATCCACATCCAGAAGATCAGACGCCATTTCCGCCACCTCCAGCGAGATGCCACCACCAGACACACATTCCCCTCCCCTCCTTTGTCCGCCTTCCACAGGGACCGTTCCCTCCGGGACACCCTGGTCCACACTTCCTTCACCCCCAACACCTCCTCACAGCCCTATGGCACCTTCCCCTGTAACCGACGAAAGTGCAACACCTGCCCATGTACCTCCTCCCTCCCCAGTATCCAAGGGCCCAAACATATCTTCCAGGTGAAGCAACACTTCACCTGCACTTCCCAGAATCTAGTCTGCTGCATTCGCTGCTCACCATGTGGTCTCCTCTACATTGGGGAAATGAAGCGTAGACTTGGTGACCGTTTTGCAGAACATCTATGTTCTGCTTGCAAAAAAGACCCTGAACTACCTGTTGCCTGCCACTTTAACGCACCACCCTGCTCTCTGGCCAACATCTCTGTCTCTGGCTTGCTGCAGTGTTTCAGCGAAGCCCAGTGCAAGCCGGAGGAACAACACCTCATTTTCCGCTTGGGGACCTCCTGACTCAATATTTAGTTCAATAATTTTAGGGCCTAAACTCTCCCATGTCCCAGCCCCCTACTCCACACATCAGGCCTTGTTACCACATAGCCTGCCATTTCACATCCCCTATTGTTAGTCACTAACAGTCCCCATTAACAACTATTCACCCTCCCAGCCTGATCATTAGCAACTCCTTTGTCTGTCTAACTGTTTTTCTCTCTCCTTGGGCTCTATCCTATTGTTTACTCCCTACCCCACCCACCTCCCTATTTTCTGAATATAAACTGACATTTTCCCAGCCACCATCAGTTCTGAGGAAGGGTCACCGGACCCGAAACGTTAACTCTGTTTTTTTCTTTCACAAATGCTGCCAGACCTGCTGAGCTTCTCCAGCAATTTTGTTTTTGAAAAATCAGCATACTTGTTTGAGAGGGAAGAAACAGAGGTGTTAGGCATAGGTCATTTGCCCACGAAAGAAGAACAAATCTAAGTGCAATATTTTTGATATATTTTTGACAATCCTTAACAAACCTAGTGAGGGTTAATTGGACAATGTCATAATTCCAAATGCTGAAAATTCTTCCTTAGTGATTTATTTGTTTAAAGCAAATATATATTGCTTAAACATGCATACATAACCAAAAAAAATTGAGAGTGGGCAAAGCAACTGTCATCAACTTTGTGAAGATTTAGAGAGTTTTACCTTTTTCTTCTGCATGTGTTTTAAAATTTCTAATGTCTGTTTAATTTCTGGGATTTGACTTTTTAGCCTAGAGAAAGGAAGAAAAGATGGTAAGTATAAGTAGTCCCGTTGAGAAGAAAGCATAATACCTTTTGACAGAACAGTTTTTATCCAAATAGCATCTTTAAAAATAATAAAATATACAAAATTCTACATGGCAACATTGCAACATAAAACATGATAATAAGCCACACAGGCAAGCATTAATGCAGATAACCAAAAGCTTAGTAAGAAAGGTAGTTTTAAGGAGTATCCTAAAAGATTGGAGTGAGACAGAGGAGTTTAAGAAGGGAATTCCAGTGCCAGTGCGAAGACAGCTGAAGGAATGTTGGAACAATTAAAATTGGGATGTGCAATAGGCCAGAATGACAAAAGCACAAAGTTATCCTGGCCAGTTGTAGGCTGGATTACAGAGTTAAGGAGGGAGGAGGTCATATGGAACTTGAAATCAAGAAATGAAAATTACAAAAATCAAAGCTTTGCTTAACATGCTAATACAGATCAGCAACCACAGTGGTAATGGGTAAACAGGACTTGGTAAGATTAAGGACACTGCTATGTATAACGTCAAATTTGCAGAGGATAGAATTCGGACGCTGACAAAGAACATAGAAACATAGAAGATAGGAGAAGGTGGTGGCCATTCGGCCCTTAAGCCTGCTCCGCCATTCATCACGATCATGGCTGATCATCCAATTCAGTAGCCTAATCTTACTTTCTCCCATAACACTGGATCCCATTCACCCCAAGTGTTATATCTAGCTGCATTCTTTACTACTTGCTGCACCTGTATGCTTACCTTCAGTGATTGGTGCACAAGGACACCCAGGTCCCGCTGCACACACCCCTCTCCCACTTTACAGCCATTCAGGCAGTAATCTGCCTTCTTGTTTTTGCTTCCAAAGTGAATGACCTCCAAATTATACTGCATCTGCCACTGATCTACCTACTCACCCAACCTGCCCAGATCACGCTGAAGGATCTCTGCATCTGCATCCGCGTCATGGTTCACCGTCTCACCCAAATTGGTATCATCTGCAAACTCAGATGTTGCATTTTGTTCCCTCATCTAAATCATTAATATATATTGTGAATAGTTGGGGTCCCAGCACCGATCCCCGTGGCACCCCACTAGTTATTGCCTGCCAACTTGAAAAGGACCCATTAATTCCTACAGATATAGTAGGAACTGCCAATGCTGGAATCTGAGATAACAAGGTGTAGAGCTGGATGAACACAGCAGGCCAGGCAGCAGAGGAGCAGGAAAGCTGACGTTTCAGGTCTGGACCCTTCTTCAGAATTCCTACACTTTGTTTCCTCTCTGCCAATCAGTTTTCTATCCATCTCAATACACTTCCCGCAATCCCATGCGCTTTAATCTTACACAATAACCTCTAATGCAGGACTTTATTAAATGCTTTCTGAAAGCCCAAATATAGCACATTGACTGTGGCAAAAGTCAAATGAAGGGGTAACAGAAACATGGATGAAGTTTAGCAGTAGCCAGGTTGAGGTGGGACATCCAGGTCTAAATGGAGCTGAAAACAGGAAGCTTTTGGGTTGGCACAGGTTTGTGGTTGGAAGCTCAAAATGGGGTCAAATTTGACACTAGTCAAGGAAGCCTTGAGCCAAGAAGGAAGAAATCTTGAGGAGTAAAAGGTCTGTGCATTATACCACAGCAGAATAAAACACAAGTAACTACACTAAGGAAGAAGGGCAGTATTTATATTTGACATAACCAAATTTCACTTACAGCATATTCTTTACTGCCAAAGGTTGCAAAACATAGTGAAACATTTTTGTTTTTATTTTAAATCTGGCAGCATGAGAACAGCCACGATAGAATTCTGATAGAAATCAGTATGTTTTTCCTTGATCCTAACATGATTTGGTAACGCCCAGTTAAAACAATTACAGAATATTGCTTTAGTCTCTCAACAGGTACAACACTAGAACACCTTAGATGGCTTGTTTGTAACAGTAGCTTCGACAGAGATAATGTCTGGATATTTTTAATCAGCGGGTGGTGTGCTGGTCTCACTTGGTCAGAGAAATATACCTGCTGTACAATTATATTCTTTGAAAAATGTGTGACATGTAACATATGCTATGACACCAGGTATTTGAGCAAGGGTCAGTTTTCAAATCTTGGAGACAGTCGCTTTTGATTTCAATAGGAAAACAGATGTAAAAAAAACTATTAAATAATACTAACTGTAGAATCCCATGCAATAAAAATTTAATTTGACTGCCAGGGCTTTGCATTAAGTGAATCAATAAGGTGCACATTTTCTCTGTCATAATCAAAAAGCACCAGATCAAAGCACCGGTGGCTCTCTCAGTCATGGCTTAAACGGTGAATCTAATATGTTGTGTTAAGAACACTATATTTAATGAGTTCAGCTAAGGTAACTAAGAGTGTCAACGTTTTTAACTCTTTGATGATAAATTCTCACCTTCTTTTCTTTTGCGATAGATTCAGCTCCATGAATTTGTATTTTTGGTATTGCTCATCTAGCCTCCTCAGTACTAGGTCTGCTGTCTCATTACCTGGCTGTTTCATAAATGCAATAACATCTTCCTAGAAGACAGATAATAAACAAAAAAACAAAGAATGAGATTAAGTGATGGACTTGAAAAATGAAATAAGCACAACCTATACACTAGCAAAAATATATAAAGAGCAAACGAAAGTAACTGAGTTGTACTGATTTCCCCAATCATCAACATCCTGGGTGTTACCATCAACAGATTAACAATGAAATATTTTGACAATATGTAGCAAGATTAGTGCACAGGGCCTATACAATATCTTCAATTACATCATTAGATGTTCTGAGGCAATACTACAGAGTTGTGTATGTAAAATAAAGAGCCGCACATCACGCAGCTCTGAAATAACCAGAAATTGCTGGAGAAACTCAGGAGGTCTGACAATGGGGAGAAAACAGAGTTAACATTTTGAGTCCAATGTCCCTTCATCATCACCAAGTTGGAGTTTGAGATGCTATATCAAGTATTACTTCCAGAAAGGCAGTAGTGTTGGGTTGCCTACCCTCACCAACATGCCCCAACCACCTATGACAGTTTCTTCGGAATTCCAATTAGTTTAAAGGGTGAAAGGTAGTCTGGCAGCACTTTAAAGGAGGTACAGTGACAACACAGAAACACGCCAAGCTCCTCATGACACCCATGTGCCTCTCCATCACATTTCCTGAACGCACAACAGCCATATTGCCCAACTGTGATAGTGTCATAACTCAGTTACTATTTCCAGCGATTGAAGATGGGGATAAAGAAGCCTGAGTCTTCGATCCACATCATAAATTCTGCTCCACTAACAATGATTTCATTCAATGAATTCCATTCCAAACTCATTCCCACTCCGCTGTTGAAACCCTCACCTATGCTTGTCATCTCTAAACACAGCTATTCCAATGGTGCCTTGCTGGACTCTGATCCTCTACATAAGAAACTGCTCAGGCCGGCTCTACCATTCAAAATAATCATGTCTGATCTCATCTTGGCCTCAACTTCAATTTCTTGCCTGCTCTCCATAACACTTAAACCAATTACTAATTAAAAATCCAGATCTTCAAATTTATTCAGTGTCCCGGTAGCTTCTGCACTCCGGGGTAATGAATTCCATAGATTCATGACTCCGAAGTAATTTCTTCTCATCTGTTTTAAATCTGCTACCCTTGCCCTAAAACTATTGTTATAGGCTGTCCCACAAGGGCAATCATCTGCTCTACGTCTACTTTGTCAATCCCTTTTAACACCTTATATTCATCAATTAGGTCTCTTTTCTAAACTTGAGTGTGTACAGATCTAAACTGCTCAATCTCTCTTGACAGGACAAACCCCTCATCTCCCAAGTCAATCTAATTAACCTCCTTTGGATTACCTTCAGTACAACTACATCCCTCCTCAAGCAAAAGGAACTAAAACTGTACACAATACTTCTGGTGCAGTCTCACTAATGCCTTATACAATTGCAGTAACACTTCCCTACTTCTAAACTCTATTCCTCAAGCAATAAATGCCAAAATATCATCAGCCTTTCTTATTACCTGCATTCTAGTTTTCTGCAATTCATGCAGAAGGACATCCAGATTTCTCTGCGATAAGGCACTCTGAAGTTTCTCTCCAATTAGATAACAAGTTGCCTTTCTATTCTTCCAACCAAAATGGATAACCTCACATTTCCATTTTAAATTCCATCAGCCAATTTTTGACTCATTCATCGAAACTATCCATTTACAAATTTCTTATCTTTTCACTGCAATTTACTTGCCCACCTATTTTATTGTTGTCTGTAAATTTTCTTCCATCCGTGTCTGAGTCATTGATATAGATTTCAAATACCTGGGGCCCAAGGACCGAATCCTGTGGAGTTCTGCTAGTTACATCTTACACACCTTAAAAAGACCCATTTATCCCAACAATCTGGCTTTCTGTCAGTTATAGAGTCACGGAGTTATACAGCATGGAAACAGGCCCTTCGGTCCAAATCATCCATGCCGACCAGATATCCTAAACCCCATCTAGTCCCATATTCCAAGTATTTGGTCCATTTACCTCTAAACCCTTCCTAAACATGTAGTCATATAGATGCCTTATAAATGTTGTAAGTGAATCCATTTCCATCACTCCCGCTGGCAGATCATTCCATACATGCACCACCTTCTGTGTGGAAACATTGCTCCACAGGTCCTTTTTAAATCTTTCCCTCTCACCTTAAGCCTATGCCCTCTAGTTTTGGACTCCCCCACCCCAATAAAAAGATCTTGGCAATTCATCCTATCCATTGCCCTCATGACTTTATAAACATCCATAAGGTCACCCCTCACCCTCTGACGCTCCAGGGAAAATATCTCCAGCCTATTCAGCCTTTCCTTATTGCTCAATCCTCTATCGAAGCTAATACATTAGCCCAACCCCCTGTCGAAGCTAATACATTAGCCCAACCCCATGTGGTCTTACCTCGTGTATTGTGTGGTACTTTATCAAATGATTTCTAGAAGTCCAGGTGTACTACATCAAAAGGTCATTATCCATTTTACTAGATACATCTTTAAAGAACTCGAGCAAACATGACTTACCCGTCATAAACCTATGCTGACTCTGATGGACTGCAGTTTGACTTTCCTTATTACTTCCTTAATAATGGATTCTAACAATTTCCCAACTGCAGCTGTTAAACTAACTGGCTCCTTTTTGAATAAGGGCATTATATTAGCGCTTTTCCAATCCACTTGAATTCTTTCAGCATCCAAGAATTTTGGAATATTATAACCGATAGATCCACTGTCTCTGCTGCCACTTCCTTTAAAAGCATAGGATGTAGGCCATCAAGTCCTTGTTTGCCTTCAATCCCAATAGTTTGCTCAGTGCCATATTCCTAATGACGACAATTGTAGAAAAGGAGGAATTTAAAACAATCTCTGCATTACCTGTTATTACATGTCCTCCAAAGTGAAAACTGAGACAAAATATCCACATAATGCCTCCACCGTTTGTGTTCCCTAACGTTACACTCCCCATTCTCATCCTCCAAGGAACCAACATTCACTTTAGCTACTCTCTTCTCTTTTAATAAGGTTTTTGCCATCTGATTTTGTATTTTGCACTAGTTTCTTTCATTATTTACCTTTGCTCTTTTTATTACTTTCTTCTGGTAACCTTTTGTTAATCTTTAAACGTTTCCCAATCTTCCAGTCTGCCACTGGCCTTTGCAACGTGATATGCGTTAGTTTTTGCCTTTGTTTAACTACCTTGTTTGGTCATAGATGATTTTCCCGCTCATGATCTTTCTTCCTCTCTAAAAGATATCTTGGCTGGGAGGAATTGAATATCTCCTTAAACATCATCACTGCTCATCAACTGTCTACTTTTTAGTCTTCCTGCCCAGTTCACTTGGGCCAAATTTGTCCTCAGACTGATGTAATCACCATTGTTTAACTCCAGAATATTAGTGTGGGTCTCTGGTTTCTTGCCCACAAACTGAATTTGAAATTCCAGCATACTATCACCACATTTCCCTAGAGGATTCTTTATGATGATATCATTGATTAATCCTATCTCATTACACAATACCAAATCCAGAATATCCTGCTCCCTGGCTGCCTCCATAACATATTGCTCTATGAAACAAATTCTAACACAATCAATGAAAAGATAGAGTGCTGGCTGGCATGTTGTAACGGTAACAATCTCTCCTGCAACATCACCAAAACAAAAGAGCTGGTCATTGATTTCAGGAAGTAAGGAGGAGGGCTCACTCTCATCTACATCAATAGTGCCAAGGTCGAGAGCATCAAGCTCCTAGGAGTGACGATCACCAACAATCTGTCCTGGTCCACCCATATTAATGCAATGGTCAAGAAAGCACAACAACACCTCTACTTCCTCAGGAGTCTAAGGAAATTCACTATGTCCATAAAGACGCTTACCAATTTTTACAGATGCACCATAGAAAGAAAGCATTCTATCTGGATGCATCACAGCTTGGTATGGCAACTGTCAGGACTGTAAGAAACTACAGAGAGCTGTGAACACAGCCCAGTCTATCACGCAAGCCAATCTTCCATCCTTTGACTCCATCTATACTTCTTGGGTCTCAAAAGGCAGCCAACAAAATCAAAAACTGGTCCCCACCCTGGTTATAACCACTTCCATCGGGCAGAAGATACAAAAGCTTAAACAAACATACCAACAGATTCAAGAACAGCTTCTTCCCTGCTGTTATTAAGTTTCTGAATGGACCTCTCAAATTTAAAACTTCATGTTGATCTCCCTCTTTGTACACCTTCTCTGCAGCTGTAATATTGTATTCCTCGTTCTGTCCTGTTACCCTTATGCACTTTGTATTGTATGATTCTCCTGTGCTGCACGCAAAATAAAACTTTTTATTTGACCTAGGTACATGAGACAATAAGAAATCAGATCAAAACTGAACTGTCCCGAGGGTACCCTTGCCAGTTTGATTAATTCAATCTATATGCAAACTAAAATTAGCCATGTTTATAGCTATACCATTCTTACAAGTCCCAGTATTTCCTGGTTTATACTGTGCCCTGCTGCGGAACTACTGTTTGGGGACCTACAAATTACTCCTACAGGGACGTCTTTCCCTTGCTATTTCTTATTTCTACCCAGACTGATTCTATATCTTCAATTCCAATTCCTATACCTTTCACTGATCTCTTCCTTTACTAACAAAGCTATATAATCTCCTTTTCCTTCCTGTTTATTCTTCTGGAACACTATGTACCCTCAGATATTCAATTCCCAACCTGGTCCCGCTGTAACCACTTCTTGGTAACCCACACCAAATCATAACAATTTGTCTCCATTTGCATTGTTAACTCATTAATTTTTCCTGTATAATTTGTCAGGTAAAAATCTCAAATTTGTTCTGTTATCAAATTTCCCTGTCCTTTTATGATTCTTTGGTGCAATATGACTTCACACATCTGTCCCTTCATTTCATTTTCTGGTAACAATCAGCTCATTGTTAACTTTCACTCCTATCCTGTCATTTAATTTCTATTTTTAAAAACTTTTCATGCAACTGGGGAACCCCCACTATTTAATCTGAAGCCTTATCTACAGCCCTAATTATGCAATTCCTCAGGACTCTGCCCCCAGCATGATACAGGGTCTGATGAAGGATCTAGGCCCGAAACGTCAGCCTTCCTGCTCCTATGATGCTGCTTGGCCTGCTGTGTTCATCCAGCTCTACACCTTGTTATCCATGACACAGTGTAACTTGTCCCATCTTTGGCTGGTACCGGTGTCAATGTTCCATGAACTTAAACCCATTTCTCCCACACCAGTCTTTGAGTCATGCATTTACCTCTTTAATCTTTATGAACTGATACTAACTAGTTTGTGGCTCAGGTAGCAAACTGGTGATTAATACCTTTTTGATTCTGCCAAAAATTTAGCCCCTACTTGCTCATATCCCTTCAGCGGAATCCAGAACCTCTTTCTTCATTCTACCTATATTAAGACCACAATAACGAGATCTTTTCTCTCCCACTCCATGTTCCTCTGCAGTCCAGATGAGATATCCTTAACCCTGGCACCAGGCAGACAATGTGGCCTTCAGAACTCTCAATCCTGGCCACCAAGAACAGTTTCTAACACCTTAACTATGCTATCTCCTATTACATTTCTCTTTTCTAACCCCACTTGAAGATTCAGCTAAGGACAGTTTGCTCATCCTCACTACAATTCCCACTTTCATCCATACAGGGAGCAAGAATCTTGACAAGTGCCAATCCCTAATTGATAAGAGTCAATCATATTTCTTTAGATCTAGAGTCATATATAGGCCAGACTAGGTAAGGACAGCAGTTTCCTTCCCTAGAGGACATTAGTGAACTAGATGGATTTTTCTGACAAACAACAATTGTAAGCGATCACAAATTGTTTAATAGTCATCATTAGATTTGTAATTTCAGATTTTTTTAAAAATTGGATTCTATCTCCACAATCTGCCCTGATGGGATTTGAACACATATCCTGAGAACATTACCTGGATCCATGGTTTAGTCATCTAGTGGCAATACCAGGAGGCCATTGCATCCCCAAATCTCATTGACTTGGATTTAGTGCCATTCACAAATGACCTTGCTGAATGATGTCGGCTGATTTTCAAGCTCACAATTCTCACCTGTTTCAAATCCCTCTGTGGGTTTGGTCTTAGTTAACTATCTTTACATCTTTTTAACTTTTGTATACTTTAGCTGTCTTCTGCATCTGCTTTTGTGCATCTTTTCTTATTTCACCTCACCACTGGGTGCAAAACCTTCAACCATCTCATCTCTAATCTCTGGAAACGCTCACTAAATACTTGTGTTTTTCCACGTTAATTTCCACTCCTAACTCTCCCCACCGCCCCACCCACCAAACTCACTCAGAGGTCTGGTTTTGAAACACTTTGGGACACTTGTACATTAAAAGTCATCCCACTAAATTAAAGAAGAGATCGTACAATTTCATTAAAAATACAAAACTTCAAATATTGAAACCTAAATCATGATAAACACAGTTGAAAATATAAAGAATCTACCAGCCCCACTCTTCTCCGCTACATCCCGTTTTAACATAATCTGAGACTTCAGTAAAGAATAACTGAATCGTTTCCTTGCAAAGTCCTCCAACTTCAGTGGGGGAAAGGTGTTTCAAAGCACGGTTATGTGTTTATAATCATTAATCTATTTACAATAGACATCAACTCATCGCCCATTGATAACTACCTTATCTAGTTAAGAGGCGCTCTTAGAGAAATGCAGGAACATTAGCTTTTGTTTCAAATCTCGACCAACTGGCGTTAACGGGAAAGCCGGAATTAGACTGCAGGTTGTGTGATCGTAAGTGACCCGACCCTGTGTGCAGTGACAGGGTATACAAGAGCAAGAAACCTCCTTGATCTTAGCCGACACTGAGGAGGCCAGTCCAAGAAATGGGAACCTGGGACATTCCGGTCTGTTCAGTTTGATGTACCTGAGCTCAGCTCCCACTCTCATAATAGTGCAGTCAAACGCCACGGGGGTTAGAAGACCGTGTTGGTGCTCAGCGACAGCACAACACGCAGCACGGTGAAAGACAGGCGGTGTCCGCCGCTCCCGGCCGCACGTTGCCATGGGGACAGAGCCCACACTGCAGGCTTGAGCCTCAGACTCGGTCTCTAATAAACAAATGGCCACAAACCCTCCCCAACCCAGGCTGTCCTTACCACAAACACGGCCTGAGGAATACCCAGGTGCTTGCGGCTGCTCGTAGCCGCGTTAGCATCGCCGCTGCCACTGGTGGTCGCCATCTTGGGCCGTTCTGACGTTACGAGAGTGACGTGGGCCGACACGTACAGGCCCCGCCCCTTCTCCGCGATGATTGGTCAGAAGCTGCCGGCCCTGCCGTCAATCACCAGGAAGGCTGGTCATGCGCAGAGGGCGGGCTTTGTGGAGACGGCCCATTAAGTGGCTGTTAGTCTGTTATATCCAGTATATTGGACTTGCAGATATCTCAACATAGAGTTATTTCACCCAAAATATGTATCCAACAAGCACGTTAAATAGGAGCAGAAGTAGGCCCAATAAAATCATGGTAAATGTTCCCCCGAATCATATTTTCTGCAGAATTAACCTGTAGCAGGCCAAATGGCATGTTCATAATTTTGAGCCGCTGCATAGTATTTTAAAAATATTATTCACTATGCAACGTGGAAATTGCTGGCTGTTAGCATTTTATTGTCCATCCCTAGTTGCCCTTGACAACGTGGTAGTTAGCTGCCTTCTTGAACCTCTGCAATCCATGTGCTGTAGGTTGACCCAATATGTCCTTAGAGAGGGAATTCCAAGATTTTGACCCAGCGACAGTGAAGGAACGGCGATATATTTCCAAGTCAGGATGGTGGGTGTTTTGGAGGGGAACTTGCAGATGGTGATGTTCCCATATATCTGCTGCCATTATATTTCTAGATAGAAGTAGTTGTGGGTTTGGAAGATGCTACCTAAGGATATGTGGTGAATTTCTGCAGTGCATCTTGTAGATAGTACACACTGCTGCTACTGAGTGTTGGTGGTGGAGAGAGTGGATATTTGTGGATGCGTTGCCTATCAAGCGGATTGCTTTGTCCTGGATGATGAGTGTTTTTGGAACTGGACACATCTAGGCAAGAAGGGTCCGACCTGAAACATCAACTTTCCTACTCCTCTGATGCTGCCTGATCTGCTGTGTTCCTCCAGTTCTGCAATGTGTTGTCTCTGACTCCAGCATCTGCAGTTCTTGCTGTCTCCATCACACTCCTGACTTGTGTTCTATAGATGGTTGTCAGGCTTTGGGGAGTCAGGAGGTGAGGTACTCGCTGCAGTATTCCTAGCCTCTGATCTACACTTGTGCCATTGTATTTACGTGATGAAAGAGTTTCTGGTCAATGGTAACTCCTTGAATGTTGATAGTGGGGGATTCAGTGATGATAACACCATTGAATGTCAAGGGGCGGTGATTAGATTTTCTCTTATTGGAGATAGCCATTGCCTGGCATTTGTATTGCACGAATTTTACTTGCCATTTGTCAGCCCAAACCTGGATGTGACTGGATTTTGTTGTATTTGAACAGGGACTACTTTAGTATTTGAGACGTTGTGAATGGTACTGAACATTGTGCAATCACTGGTGAACAACCCCACTTCTGACCTTATGATGGAGAGGTCATTGAAGCAGCTGAAGATGGAGCAGCTCAGAAGGAACGTTTGTTATTTTATGGGTGGAGTCATCGATTAGTTACAGTGCAGAAGGAGGCTATTCAGAAGATCATATGATGTGCCTCCTCCCAGCAAGACTTCCAGTTCCGTACCCTTCTCCCAGGGCCCTTAGGGTCGGATAATAGGTCAGCACACCGTCATGGGCCGAAGGGCCTGTACTGTGCTGTACTGTTCTAAGTTCTATGTTCTACAAGGCTTTCCTCAAAACAAAAAGAGACAAAGAACTACGGATGCTGGAAATCAGAAATAAAAACAGAAATTGCTGGAAAAACTCAGCAGGCCTGTCAGCATCTGTGCAGAGAAAGCAAAATTAATGTTTTGGGTGCAGTGACCTCTCTTCAGAGGGTTTGCTCTTTTTGTCGTTATTCACTTTCCTTTTGAAAGCCATGATTAAATCTGCACCCGCAGCACTCAAGCAGTTCAGTTCAGATATAACCAATCATTGAATAAAGAGGTTTCCCTCATTATGTTAACTGTTTCTTTTGCCATTCACCATACAGCCGAAACATCTTGATCTCAATCCTAAATCAGTTTCTCTTTCTCTCTCTTTTCTGTCTATGATTTTGTACACTCCTCTCACATTTCTTCTCAATCTTCTCTAAGGAGAAATATACTTACATCTGCAATCTATTCATGCACCCAATGTTCCTCACAGGCCCCTCGAGCCTGCTCCGCCATTCAATAAGATCATGGCTGATCTGTGGCCTAACTCCAAATGCCTGCCTTTGACCTATATCCCTTGATACACTTGCTTAATAAAAAAATGTCTGTCCCAGATTTAAATGTAACTGAATTAGCATCAGCCGCTGTTTGAGGAAGAGAGTTTGAAACGTCCACTACTCTTTGTGTGTAAAAGTGCATTCTAATATCTCTCCTGAATGGCCTGGATCTAATTCTTAGACTATGACGTCTGGTTCTAGAATCTTCAACCAATAGAAGATTGTTTATTTTTTTCTCTTTTTATCTACCCTGTCTTTCCCTGATAATATCCTGAAGACCTTGATTAGATCACCCCTAAAATGTTTAAATTCTAGGGAATAATAGCTTAATTTGTCTAATCTCTCCTCATAACTTAGCCCCTGAAGTCTAGATATCACCCTTGTAAATGTGCGTTGAACTCCCTCTAGGGCTAAGTCATCCTTCCCAAGGTGTGGTGCCCAAGTCTGCTCATTGTGCTCTAAGTGGGATTCAACTAAGATTTTGTATAACTGCAGCATAATGTCTGCATCCCTATATGCGAGCCCTTTAGATATGAAGGCCAGCATTCCATACACCTTCTTGACTATTTCCTGCATATGTTCATGGCATTTTAAAGACCTGTGCACCTGAACACCCAAATCTCATTGGACCTTCACTATATTTAACTTTGTGTCTTCTAAAAAATACCCTGATCTATCCTTTATTGGACCAAAATGGATTACTTCACACATCTTATATTAATTAAAATCCACCTGCCACAGCTTTTCCCATGCAACTAATCTATCCATATCCGATTGTATTTTTATGCTGTCATCAACACTGTCTGCAATGCTCCCTAATTTTGTTTCATCACCAAGTTTGCATGTTTGACTTTTGATGCCATTGTCCACATCTTTAATGATATTGTGAATAATTGAGGCCCCGACACAGATTCCTGGGGAACACCACTCGTCACACCCTGCCAATTTGCAAGATCATCCCTCACTCACTGGCATTAAGCCGCCATACTACTTAGCCTGCATGGCATCTGTGCTACCTTCTCACTCACTTGGAGATCTTATCATCTTTCCCCACTAACAACTATGTCACCCACTTTTATCTCATTTACCCATTCTCAGGGGAAAGTGGGCCACAATAGGGCAGAAAGTGTGGTGGGGTGCTAGACATTCATCTCCTCACCCTCTGTGAAGAAAGGATCTTGGATTTGGTCAGTGTGTACTGGGGTCAGTACAGTGTACTACCACAATATCATGCCCCAGCAACCATGCAAGAATTATTGTCCATTGCTGTACTATTCTCCCAATTCTCTCACTGTGAAAGCATTCTTAACATGCCCAAAGTTGTGCCTGTTTTTTGCAACACATTGTTTCTTTTATCTCCTGCAGACATGAGCGGCATCAGCACAGTCTCTGTGGCCAAGAGGCAGCCCTGCAAGATATTCCCTCCTCCATCTTTAAAAAGAATGCATTCATGTTTCAGAAGATGCACCAACAAGGCTGTTTCCTGCACCATACACCAGCTGCAGTGCTGAGCCCCATAGTGAGTACTTTAGCTAGATTATCATCATGAACGTCTGCTGTTGGGCACCTCACTGCCATGTCTCCAAGCTGGTTGACAGAGAAATGTCCTAGGGTCCTGGCACTTGGAGGACTGCCGGAGACCAGGTATCTGCAGGTGAGGACCCCCATGGTTTCAGCCACACATGACTACATACAAATACATAAGCAGATACAGGATCAGCAGTCAGGTTTGTCATGGGCATTGGGTAACCTGACACAAAGGTGGCATGAGTACCCTTGGAACACTGCTAGCTTTGGCATGCAAATGTCTGATTGCCTCCATGGATGGGTTGGAAAATGCAATGGAGACCCAAAGCCAGCATTCTGCGAGTCTGCTGGATATGCACACAGACCTGCACTTCATTGCTCTAGCCAACAATGCTCAGAAAGTGCCAAGCCAGAGGAGGAAACACAATCAATCATGAATGGTGGTGGACAATTAACTCACTGGAGGAAGAGGCTTCACAAATATCCCCATTCTCAATGATGGAAGAGCCCAACACATCAGTGCAAAAGACAAGGCTGAAGCATTCGCAGCAATAGTACTGAAGACTTGTGCTCCAGTACTTGCCGCTCCCCTAGCCAAGCTGTTCCATTACAGTTACAACACTGGTATCTACCCGGCAATGTGGAAAATTGCCCAAGTATGTTCTGTACACAAAAAACAGGACAAATCCAATACTGCCAATTACCGTCCCATCAGTCTACTCTCAATCATCAGTCAGGTGATATAACGTGTCATCAACAGTGCTATCGAGCAGCGCCTGCTCAGCAATAACCTGTTCAGTGACACCCAGTTTGGGTTCCGCCAGGACCACTCAGCTCCTGACCTCATTACAGCCTTTGTTCAAGCATGGACAAAACAGCTGAATTCCAGAGATGAGGTGAGAGTGCCCTTCACATCAAGGCTGCATTTGACCAAGTGTTGCATCAAGGAGCCCTGGCAAAACTGGAATCAATAGGTATCAGGGGGCAAACACTCAGGTGGCTGGACTCTATCTGAAACATAGGAAGATGGTCATGGTTGTGGGAGGTCAATCATCTCAGCTCCAGGACATCTGGGATCATTCTATGGGAAGCGAGGGACAAGATCGCAGGGCCTTTGGCGATGATATTTTCGTCCTCACTGTCCACGGGTATAGTGCCGGAAGATTGGAAAGAGGCAAACGTCATTCCCTTGTTCAAAAAAGGGAACAGGGATAACCCCGGAAATTACAGGCCAGTTAGTCTTACGTCAGTGGTGGGCAAATTATTGGAAAGGGCTCTGAGAGACAGGATTTATGATCACTTGGAAAGGCACAGTTTGATTCGTGATAGTCAGCATGGATTTGTGAGGGGTAGATCA